CCTCCAAACGACTACCAGCCGAGGATGTAAAGAGGTAAGGTTTAATCCTCGCACAAGAGGGTTCTTCCTGTCCCACTTGGAACTGTGGGCCATAGATATTAATGAGACGGAGCTCATGCCCCCTTACGAGAACATCCAGAATCAGGACATCGTCCTGATCTCTACCCTCAATTATCCGCCGACTCGTTACCATGCCGGTAAAAAAGCTCCGCAACTACGCTGTAAATGCTCTAGCCGCAAGAGACCAGTAGGAGGGCCCACGCCTCCACTCCTCGCTTGGGCCAGGATGGACACTCAGCCAAGGTGTGCAACCTGGTCTCCTGCAAAAAGCAAATATTCAGCTTCCATCCCACTGATCAAAATAATAGGCTGTTTCTCTAGCACATACAGACTTTATGCTGGCAACATTAATGGTTGCCTCCTTTATCGGTGCGTGGAACTGCCTATTAAGATAATTGAGAGGGACGGTTTCTTTACAATCCTCCTCTTGACTTTCTAGGCAGGGTCCCTCACTCTCTTAAGAGACCCACCAAGCATCACTCGTCCATCCCATCGGGGAAGCGGGTTCACTTGACCCATACTACCTCCCCCGACAATGCCCCATACCTATTCCCCCAGGGCCCACCTTCCCCCGCCTCTGTAAGAAGGACATCCGACCTGCTGAGGTACCAAATACTGAGGCGTACTCCGGCCTACCCACCAGGGACCAACCCCTCCTCCACCCGAGGCCCCACCGGAGCAGAAAAATAAAAATAGAACCTTGGGTATCACGGGACTCACGGGACTCACTTGACCGGGCCTCCTACTCCGCCGCAGCGGCAAGAGCAAGGGGGGAGCAGACACTGAGGGACGTAGACCTTAAGCCTCATCCAGAGCCGGCACCTTTAAGGCAGCCCTCCCTTCAGCTGTTTCTTTAGTCCTGCGGAGGAGGAAACGGCACACAAGGGGGAATCATCAGGGGACTCCAAAAGAAGGGGTAGACGAAACAGGGGGGACAGAGACAGGAGAGGCCACCAAGAAACCTCCCCTTTCCCTTCACAAGGGCCGCCCACAGCAACCGAAGCCACTCTCTCCAACTGCGCCTCCGCCTCATTCTGCATTTAGATTACCCGATCCAATCTCTGCTACAAGCCTCCCCCACCGGTAAGGTTGTGGAGGGCCTCCGGGGCACTGGGTTGTATGAATGCCCAAGCTCCACGCAGAGATTGCATTCGGATCAATCAATTGCATACCCTGGCCAGAGTGTACTATTTCTGACACCAGGGGAACATCTAATGGACGGGGCAGGTGGGCCGCAAAAATGCCCCCTTGCACACCACCACCGGTTGGCAGACTCTCGGCTGACCCGCCATAAAATAAATTTATCAGGCGGTCCTTCCCTAGGATAAGCGGAAGAGGGAATGTGATGGAGCACAGTTTCCAACCACCTTTATGCGGACGGTGGTACGTCCACCCACTGTCCATATTCCCCTCTCATTTCCTTGATCTTCCCCAAGGAGGCCCCATCACATCCCCCATAATCCTGCTTAGCCAGAACCACAATATACTGATGCAAGAGGGATGGATTCATTTTCTCAACAGACACAGTTATTTTTATAATCAGGGACTGGCCGAGAGACGGAGCCTCGGGAGGGTTAGGACACCTCCCCACTAGGGCTGGTGACAAAGGTGGACTCATACCTCTGCCAAAAGAGGTTCCTACAATTTCTGGCCGCATGAAGGACAGCGTTCATACTTCTCCAGTACCCAACTGGAGCAATAAACGCAAAAATATCTGCGGCATGGAAAGCCCATTCTAATTATGCGGTCTATGACCTCTTCTCCTGCTAAGGGGGGGGCCATCCCTGACCATTTCAGCTGAACAACATTTCGCCTTGCGGCGGAAGGAAGGAAGTTGGGACGGTTACCTGCCTCTTGCCCGGGGCCGATCCCACTGACCACCCTGACCCTCCTCCCTAACTGCAGCAGAGTATCTGAGGCCACCGATCCAGCCCCAGGGGCACTCTACATCATAGGGGCATGACCAGGGGAGGATAGCGCGCACACCAGCAGCAGCAACTGTAAGGGGCAGATTGATGATGAGCCATGAACCTGGGGGGAGCCCCGGGGCGTGGGGGACCACCCATACCAGACAGGAGAACCCTCCTGAGCCGGACCCGCAGGAGCATGGACCTGAGAAAACCTGGAAGCCCCCTGAGGAGAAGAAACCGTGGATGGGGGACCTGCCTGGTTGCACACCAGAGGCCCACCATGCACACCCAAAGGGGCGGGGCCCTGTGGGACCACCACCAAGAGGGGAAACACACTTAGAAAAAAATAAAAAAACCAGGACCTGTAAGGGCTAATCTGCAAGCTCAGACTATTTTTGCAGGGCATTATACCCGCTACCACAGTGTCCAGAACACATCTCACCCACACACAATCAGCAGAGTCCTTTCTCCCCTTCCTGTGGCTCCCCTGCCTTTGCAAAACACGCCTTGGGGGATGCGTTTGCAGCATGACAAAGGTACAGCATGCTCTTTCACCACCGGCTTAGCCGGGCTTGCGAGGGGATGATGACATATTCACTTTCTAGCTTCATTCTCTGAGTCCTCGGACGGTAAACCTGAAGTTTCGGACTCCACGCAGCTAGATGCAACAGCCTCTGTCCGAGGAAAACTGCAATCCGCCCACCTATTCTCCTCCTCCCTCCACCTGGGGTCGCCAATCCACAGGCAGCTGCCCAGGGGGGAGCGGACTCTGTTGATCCTGCCACCACGCTGATCTTCCATGATAGACGCCCATCCAATTCCTCTGAGGGTCTGCTGTGGGCTCAACCTGCCCCTGCTCGCCTTCCAACAGCAACTCCCCCGAACAATTCCTTCCACCGAACGAGGCCCTCTCTCACCGGACTCCGCAATAGCCGCAACACTTGCGGCTTCTTGCAGCCTTAAATCTCGCTTCATTCAGATACTTTCTCGCCTTAGGACGCCGCTCTGGCGCTTTGGGCAGCGCCACCACATACCTCCCCTGCTGTGACACACGAAGTTCCAGCGCCTCCAGGTCCGGTTTCATGGCCTGCCGCTTAGTAGGATCCATAACTCCGGTCGTAGGATGACCGGAGCTTCTTTTAGCTCCAGTCAGTCAGCTTCTGGAGCTTGGCTTCGCTCCTTCTCTATTAACCTGGCTCCGAGCGGCCACACTGGGTCCCGGTAGGCAGAATAAACTTCCCCTTCCTAGGGGCCATTCCCAGGTCCTCTACTGGTGGAAAAGAGAGGCCCGTATGGTCGGTACTAGGCCCCTCCTGGGCCTTCTCCCCGCTGGACCCAGGCCCAGGATCCGCCATCCTGCCTGGGCTGGGCAGGGCACTTTAGCCCAGGCTTCTCGGGCCTTTCTGGAGCTCAGCAGACAAGTGCAACACACCCTCTCTCAGGAATGAATTCACCAATAATGGTGGGACTCAGCTGCCTTGTGATCTGCAGTCAGTACCAGGGCTGGCCAGCGGGTGTTCCCAGCAATCAGAGACTCAACTTTGCAGCCAGCTAACACCTGTAAACTGATTATGCTGGGGTATTTAGGGATGGGCCAGACCCACAGACTCTGCCTTGGTGTGTGTTTTGGTCCTGGGCCCTGTATCCTGTTTCTGTCCTGCATCCTGTTTCTCGAACCGCTGCTGACTTCCTCCTGCTCTGATCCCGGCTCGCTCCTGACCATCCCTCTGTCTGACCCTCTGTACCACGCTGCTTGCTACCTGTTCTGCATCCCTGGCTGTGGACCCTGACCAATCTCCGCTTGCTACTCCCCCCTGTACCTACCTGCCCTATTGATATTGACCGGCCTGCCTGACGACGCTTGCTTGTATGTACTGTTATCTGTGGGTGGTTGTGTTTGGGTTTGTTTGCACTGTATTATGTTTTAGTATTGCACTGCGTTTATGTTTGTATTTGTTAGGTGTTTAATAAATTATATTGTTTATTATATATGAGGTCTGCATTTCCCTGCGTCAGTCACCAACATCTCTTGGTCACACCTGGGGAGCCCCTGACATTACACCAAGGCCAATCCTGAACACCAGAAGTGGCTGCACAGGGAAGCCATCTTGGCTTGTTGATGGGAAGGATGGATCTGGATGAGGTTGAGTATTTATCTCTGCTAGTGCTTGATTGACAGAGAGTATGCTTATCAGACTCTGAAGGAGTATCCCCCGGGACAATGAACTTGCTAGATTGTATACGGCTCGCTCATGTTCTAGTAGATCAGGGCACAGATTTCTCTATGGTGCAGCCATTGATTCAGGTTTGTGTTGAGTTTGGTTTCATTCTGGTTCCCCCGGGGGAATGCGGGGGGGGGGGGCGGGGGATGAATTTTTGCCACCATTTAGTGCAGACCAGGTTGAATTTTTTGTCCCTGGTGTGGTTATTAGAGGATGATGTGGGTTTACTTTCTGGAGCGTTATTCCACATTTCACCACAGATACTAGAGATTGTATAAACGCAGTGCAGTCATTGACCAGACAGGCTTTGTGTAAACTCAGCTTTGTTCAACCCCTACTGCAGACATGGACAGACTTGTTGCACCCAGCCTCAGTCAGCTTACAAAAACCCAGTCCTGCTTCTAACTCTACTCCTGTTATTCCCACCAGCTCCTCCCAGTTACAGCCCAGTATACTTGGCTATCTACCGCATGTCAGTACCCTGTTCCCACTCGCCTGCACCTATCCTGCCTTTAACCCTGTAAAAAAGCCCTCTGTAGCAAACTGCTCCCTCTCCTGTTCCATCCTCCAGTTTTTCTCTGTCTCCAGCTGCTCCATTCGTTTGCAGACCTGCGTTTACTTGCAGTGCTCCAGTAGTTAAAAACCAGAAAAAAGCGAAGAAAATTCTTTCCAACCAATACCATCCCTGCCAGTATCCAAACCGGTGAACCCGCCTTCAGTGGTGACTCAGCCGGATGCCTCTCCTCAGCCGGATGCCTCTCCTCAGCCGGATGCCTCTCCTCAGCCTGATGCCTCTCCTCAGCCTGAAGCCTCTCCTCAGCCTGAAGCCTCTCCTCAGCCTGAAGCCTCTCCTCAGCCTGAAGCCTCTACTCAGCCTGATGCCTGCATTCAGCCTGATGCCGCTACTCAGCATGATGTGAACTGATCCAGCCCGACGATCCTATTAGGCCAGTTGACTCGATGCCGCTGTTGATCCAGATGATCCGCTAGTACCTGATTCCAGTTGCCGCTGTCATGCCAATTGACTCAGAGCCCGCTGTCATACTGGTGACCCGGTGCCCACTGCCTTGCCAGATGACGCGGTGCCCGCAGCCTTGCCAGACGACTCGGTGCCCGCAGCCTTGCCAGACGACTCGGTGCCCGCAGCCTTGCCAGATGACTCGGTGCCCGCAGCCTTGCCAGACGACTCGGGTGCCCGCAGCCTTGCCAGACGACTCGATGCCCGCTGTTCCGCCAGTTTGACTCGGTGCCCGCAGTCTTGCCAGACGACTCGGTGCCCGCAGTCTTGTCAGAAGACTCAGTGCCGCTCTGTTCCGCCAGTTGACTCGATGCCCGCAGTCTTGCCAGTTGAATCGGGTGCCCGCAGTCTTGCCAGTTGACTCGATGCCCGCAGTCTTGCCAGTTGACTCGGTGCCCGCAGTCTTGCCAGTTGGACTCGGTGCCCGCAGTCTTGCCAGACGGACTCGGTGCCCGCCAGTCTTGTCAGACGGACGCTCAGTGCCACGCTGTTCCGCCAGTTGACTCGATGCCCGCAGTCTTGCCAGTTGACTCGGTGCCCGCAGTCTTGACCAGTTGACTCGATGCCCGCAGTCTTGCCAGTTGACTCGGTGCCCGCAGTCTTGCCAGTTGACTCGGTGCCCGCAGTCTTGCCAGTTGACTCGGTGCCCACAGCCTTGCCAGACGACTCGGTGCCCGCAGCCTTGCCAGGACTCGACTCGGTGCCCGCAGCCTTGCCAGACGACTCGGTGCCTGCAGTCCCGCCAGTTGACTCGGTGCCCGCTGTTCCGCCAGTTGACTCGGTGCCCGCAGTCTTGCCAGACGACTCAGTGCCCGCTGTTCCGCCAGTCGACTCGGTGCCCGCAGTCTTGCCAGACGACTCGGTGCCCGCAGTCTTGCCAGACGACTCGGTGCCCGCAGTCTTGCCAGACGACTCGGTGCCCGCAGTCTTGCCAGACGACTCGGTGCCCGCTGTTCCGCCAGTTGACTCGATTGCCCGCAGTCTTGCCAGACGACTCGGTGCCCGCAGTCTTGCCAGGACGACTCGGTGCCCGCAGTCTTGCAGACGACTCGGTGCCCGCAGTCTTGCCAGACGACTCGGTGCCCGCTGTTCCGCCAGTTGACTCGATGCCCGCAGTCTTGCCAGACGACTCGGTGCCCGCAGTCTTGCCAGAAAAATACGACTCGGTGCCCGCAGTCTTGCCAGACGACTCGGTGCCCGCAGTCTTGCCAGACGACTCGGTGCCCGCAGTCTTGCCAGACGACTCGGTGTCCCGCAGTCTTGCCAGACGACTCGGTGCCCGCTGTTCCGCCAGTTGACTCGGTGCCCGCAGTCTTGCCAGACGACTCGGTGCCCGCAGCCTTGCCAGACGACTCGGTGCCTGCAAGTCCCGCCAGTTGACTCGGTGCCCGCTTGTTCCGCGCCTGTTGACTCGGTGCCCGCAGTCTTGCCAGACGACTCAGTGCCCGCTGTTTCCGCCAGTCGACTCGGTGCCCGCAGTCTTGCCAGACGACTCGGTGCCCGCAGTCTTGCCAGGACGACTCGGTGCCCGCAGTCTTGCCAGACGACTCGGTGCCCGCAGTCTTGCCAGACGACTCGGTGCCCGCAGTCTTGCCAGACGACTCGGTGCCCGCAGTCTTGCCAGACGACTCGGTGCCCGCTGTTCCGCCAGTTGACTCGATGTCCCGCAGTCTTGCCAGACGACTCGGTGCCCGCAAGTCTTGCCAGACAACTCGGTGCCCGCAGTCTTGCCAGACGACTCGGTGCCCGCAGTCTTGCCAGACGACTCGGTGCCCGCTGTTCCGCCAGTTGACTCGATGCCCGCAGTCTTGCCAGACGACTCGGTGCCCGCTGTTACGCCAGTCGACTCGGTGCCCGCAGTCTTGCCAGACGACTCGGTGCCCGCAGTCTTGCCAGACGACTCGGTGCCCGCTGTTCCGCCAGTTGACTCGATGCCCGCAGTCTTGCCATGACGACTCGGTGCCCCGCTGTTCCGCCAGTCGACTCGGTGCCCGCAGTCTTGCCAGACGACTCGGTGCCGCAGTCTTGGCCAGACGACTCGGTGCCCGCAGTCTTGCCAGACGACTCGGTGCCCGCAGTCTTGCCAGACGACTCGGTGCCGCTGTTCCGCCAGTTGATCGGTGCCCGCAGTCTTGCCAGACGACTCGGTGCCCGCAGCCTTGCCAGACGACTCGGTGCCTGCAGTCCCGCCAGTTGACTCGGTTGCCCGCTGTTCCGCCCCAGTTGACTCGGTGCCCGCAGTCTTGCCAGACGACTCAGTGCCCGCTGTTCCGCCAGTCGACTCGGTGCCCGCAGTCTTGCCAGACGACTCATGTGCCCGCAGTCTTGCCAGACGACTCGGTGCCCGCAGTCTTGCCAGACGACTCGGTGCCCGCAGTCTTGCCAGACGACTCGGTGCCCGCAGTCTTGCCAGACGACTCGGTGCCCGCTGTTCCGCCAGTTGACTTGATGCCCGCAGTCTTGCCAGTACGACTCGGTGCCCGCAGTCTTGCCAGACGACTCGGTGCCCGCAGTCTTGCCAGACGACTCGGTGCCGCAGTCTTGCCAGACGACTCGGTGCCCGCTGTTCCGCCAGTTGACTCGATGCCCGCAGTCTTGCCAGACGACTCGGTGCCGCTGTTCCGCCAGTCGACTCGGTGCCCGCAGCCTTGCCAGACGACTCGGTGCCCGCAGCCTTGCCAGACGACTCGGTGCCCGCAGCTTCTTGCCAGACGACTCGGTGCCCGCAGCCTTGCCAGACGACTCGGTGCCCGCAGCCCCGCCAGTTGACTCGATGCCCGCTGTTCCGCCAGTTGACTCGGTGCCCGCAGTTGCCAGACGACTCAGTGCCCGCTGTTCCGCCAGTCGACTCGGTGCCCGCAGTCTTGCCAGACGACCTCGGTGCCCGCAGTCTTGCCAGACGACTCGGTGCCGCAGTCTTGCCAGACGACTCGGTGCCCGCAGTCTTGCCAGACGAAACTCGGTGCCCGCAGTCTTGCCAGGACGACTCGGTGCCGCTCTGTTCCGCCAGTTGACTCGATGCCCGCAGTCTTGCCAGACGACTCGGTGCCCGCAGTCTTGACAGACGACTCGGTGCCCGCAGTCTTGCCAGACGACTCGGTGCCCGCTGTTCCGCCAGTTGACTCGGTGCCCGCAGTCTTGCCAGACGACTCGGTGCCCACTGTCGTGCCTGGTGACTCGGTGCCCGCCGCTTCGTCTGGGGGCCGAGACCTGTTGCTCCGCCTGAGGGCCCGAGACCTGTCGCTCCATCTGGGGGTCCGGCGCCCGCCGCTCCGCCTGAGGGCCCGAGACCTGTAGCTCCGCCTGGGGGTCCGGCGCCCGCCGCTCCGCCTGGGGGTCCGGCGCCCGCCGCTCCGCCTGGGGGTCCGGCGCCCGCCGCCCCGCCTGGGGGCCCGATGCCTGTCGCCCCGCCTGGGGGTCCGATGCCTGTCGCCCCGCCTGGGGGTCCGATGCCTGTCGCCCCGACTGGGGGTCCGATGCCTGTCGCCCCGCCTGGGGATCCGATGCCTGGGGGCCGAGGCCTGTCGCTCCATCTGGGGGTCCGGCGCCCGCCGCTCCGCCTGAGGGCCCGAGCCTGTAGTTCCGCCTGGGGGTCCGGCGCCCGCCGCTCCGCCTGGGGGCCCGAGGCCTGTCGCCCCACCTGGGGGTCCGGCGCCCGCCACTCCGCCTGAGGGCCCGAGACCTGTAGTTCCGCCTGGGGGTCCGGCGCCCGCCGCCCCGCCTGGGGGCCCGGTGCCTGTCGCCCCGCCCGGGGGCCCGGTGCCTGTCGCCCCGCCCGGGGGCCCAGTGCCTGTCGCTCCGCCTGGTGGCCGCTGCCTGCTGCTTCGCCTGGTAGCCCGATGTGCCTCTGCCCGGGGTCCTGCCCGATGTGCCTCTGCCCGGGGTCCTGCCGATGTTCCTCTGCCCGGGGTCCTGCCCGATGTGCCTCTGCCCGGAGTCCAGCCCGATGTGCCTCTGCCCGATGTGCCTCTGCCCGGAGTCCAGCCGATGTGCCTCTGCCCGGAGTCCAGCCCGGTGTGCCTCTGCCCGGTGTGCCTCTGCCCGATGTGCCTCTGCCCGGAGTCCAGCCCGATGTGCCTCTGCCCGGAGTCCAGCCCGATGTGCCTCTGCCCGGAGTCCAGCCCGATGTGCCTCTGCCCGGAGTTCAGCCCGATGTGCCTCTGCCCGGAGTCCAGCCCGATGTGCCTCTGCCCGGTGTACCGCTGCCCGGAGTCCTGCCCGGTGTGCCAGTCTTTGATATCCCGCCAGTTACCAGACCCGGGCGGTGGAAACATTTTTCCCAGCTAGGACTGTTTGGAGCGTCCTGAGGCCGCTCCTTGAGGGGGGGGGGTACTGTCAGGAATGGACTGGCCAGCTATGGTGGGACTCACCTGCCTTTTGATCTGCAGTACCAGGGCTGGCCAGCGGGGTGTTCCCAGCAATCAGAGACTCAACTTTGCAGCCAGCTAACACCTGTAACTGATTATGCTGGGGTATTTAAGGGATGGCAGACCCACAGACTCTGCCTTGGTGTGTGTTTGTCCTGGGCCCTGTATCCTGTTTCTGTCCTGCATCCTGTTTCTGAACGCTGCTGACTTCTCTGCTCTGATCCCGACTCGCTCCTGACCATCCCTCTGTCTGACCCTCTGTACCACGCTGCTTGCTACCTGTTCTGATCCCTGGCTTGTGACCCTGACCAATCTCCGCTTGCTCCCCCTGTACCTACCTGCCCTATTGATATTGACCCGGCCTGCCTGACGACGCTTGCTTGTATGTACTGTTATCTGTGGGTGGTTTGGTTTGTTTGCACTGTATTATGTTTTAGTATTGCACTGCGTTTATGTTTGTATTGTTAGTGTTAATAAATTATATTGTTTATAACATATCTGAGGTCTGCGTTTCCCTGCGTCAGTCACACATCTCTGGTCACACCTGGGAGCCCTGACACATCCTGGGCTGGAATACCTGTTCACAGGTGCCAGAAGTTGGTTGACATGCAACACAGATGTACAGCAGTTCTCAGAAACAGTGCTTATACAACAAAATATTCATTAAGTGATTAAAAGGAAAGCAAAATCTTCAAACATTTTTCAGTTTATATAGTGAATGTTTGAGTTTGTAAAGAATACAAAACACTGCTATTTTTTTGAACAGTCTAATATTCACTTTTCTTCAATTTGTTTAGAGGAACAACACAAATTTGATATATTTTCTTCATGTTTTGATTTGGAATAGAATGTGTAGTGTTCCCAATGCATTTGTGTGTATGGAAATAAAAAGCTATTAGAAGGATTTTGAGCTTTATTCACTTTTTTCAACACACTGCTATTATTTTGAACACACAACTGTATATAAACAGATATTCTGATTGAGATTATAAATATACTAAATAATTATAAATTATACAGTATCTGACCTGATGGAGGACGATGCCATGAACATATTAACAACCTGTGACCTACTGCTCACGACTGAATCAAAGGAAAGACCTACAGAAAAGACACAATAAAAATGGGATGATTCTTCTCACATTTTTCAGCCAGATCAGGCAGTGAACTTAATGATGTCTGACCTCCACGGGAAAAAAAAAAGGAACTTGCCATTGTAGCTGACTGTCTGATACCTACAGCTCTATGCAAACATCAATGATGTCTTGGCATTCCCCATTGATACACACATGGTTATGTCACAGCCTGTTTAAAAAAATGGACAGCAAACCACCAATGTTCATAGTCAGCGTATGTTGCCTTGTAATAAAGTAATAACAAACAATTAAAACAAACTGAGCCTGATAGAAGCTTTGAAGTTTTAGTAAGAGCATGTGAACAGTTATCTCTTTAAGCCTCACTCTAAAGAATTCAGAATCATTACTGCTGGAACTGCAATTCTTGCAATTAAACGAAGCTAAAAAGAATCAAATTAAGCTCAAGGACATGTGTTATGAATTCAGTGCAGCTTTGGAAGGATAACACCACTGATAAATGTTGGAGTCTGGTTGTCTGGGGATCAGGGGCGGACTGACAACTCATGGGGCCCCTGGGCAATATAGGATCATGGGTCCCCTGTGTCCTTGCCCAAACTAAAAAAAAAAAAAAAAAAAAAAAAAAAAATCCTATGAAAAAGGTACAGGGGCATCTCATGGGGCCCCCTACTGACCCAGGGCCCTCGGGCAGTACCCGAGTTTCCAAATGGTCAGTCCGCCCCTGTCTGGGATTAAACAATTTTTACTAAAATGAGAATTTTGAAAATCAAGACTTTACAAATGTTGTATGTTTATAATATTTTTGTGCAATTAATATGAATCTGTTTTAAAAAATTGCTTCTTAAATTGTCTGTTATCGTTTGGGTGCCATCTTACTATAGGTGTCACATGCTGCACTTCTACACAAACTTTTTATACTTTGAGAAGTACATTCCTACATGCATTGCATGGGTAAATGCTGATTCACAGAAGAATCTGAATTTACACAATTAAGGCTACATTCAACCATTCACTTGTATTGCAGGCTTTACTCACCAGCTGAAAGACCAGTCATAGCAAGCCAACCTGTCTGCCAACCTATAGGTCACCACCATGCTAGTAGCACCACACTCCAGCCTATCCAGGCGAGTGGAACAGCAGACTCAAACAGTGTGTGTGTGTGGGGGGGGGGGGGTGTACATTTTTGTATGTTTTGTCATAAAAGTTTAAATAAACATCTGGTTTTAAAATATTGCTTACTGTGCATGCATGCATTTCTTGATATCTGATGTGTTTTAATGTAATATTTCCTTGTTTGTCTCATAAGTGTGAGCTATTTATGTAGAATAATAATAATTAGTGTTAGTAAACTAATAATAATTAATAAGGATACAAACAAGCAGAGTTTTTTTCAAAAATTAATTTTATTTAGTTTAACAAGTACAGCAGTACTTAAATACACAGATACACAATAAGTACATTAACTGGCCTAGCCAGTAAAAACAATAATAACTAAACCATCCCCACCCCCCCTCCTCCCTTCCCTAACAGTGCAATGCCTTCAATAAAGCAGAGTCAAAGTCTAGGTGCCCCTACATTACAAAGTAATGACTTCCCAGATAACATTTTATTTTTATTTATTTCAGGTACTTCTATAGCGCCGTCAATTTACGCAGCGCTTTACACATATACAGTTGCAAGAAAAAGTATGTGAACCCCTTGGGATTACGTGGAGTTTTGCATGAATTGGGCACAAAATTTGCTCTGAACGTCATCTAAGTCTCAACAATAGAAGAACACAGTCTGCTGAACATAATACTACACAAACATTAGATGTTGCCATGGTTTAATTGCACATAACATGTAAACATTCACAGTGCAGGGAGGAAAAAGTATGTGAACCTTTGGACTTAATAACTGGTTGATCCTCCTTTGGCAGCAATAACCTCAACCAAACGTTTCCTGTAGTTGCAGATCAGACCTGCACAACGATCCGGAGTAATTTTGGACCACTCCTCTTCACAAAACTGTTTTAGTGTAGCAATATTCTTGGGATGTCTGGTGTGAATCGCTCTCTTAAGGTCATGCCACAGCACTTCAATCGGGTTGAGGTCAGGACTCCACTCCAGAAGGCGTATTCTGTGCTGTTGCAGCCATTGTTTTGTTGAATTACTTGTATGCTTTGGGTCATTGTCCTGTTGCATCACCCATCCTCTGCGGAGCTTCAGTTGGCGGACAGATGGTCGTACGTTTTCCTGCAAAATGTCTTGATAAACTCTGGAATTCATTTTCCCATCAATGACAACAATCCGTCCAGGCCCTGAGGCAGCAAAGCAGCCCCAAACCATGATGCTCCCTCCGCCATGTTTTACAGTGGGGATGAGGTTTTGATGTTGGTGTGCTGTGCCTTTTTTTCTCCACACATAGTGTTGTGTGTTCTTCCCAAACAACTCAATCTTGGTTTCATCTGTCCACAGTATATTTTGCCAGTAGTGCTGTGGAACATCCAGGTGCTCTTTTGCAAACTTCAAACGTGCTGCAATATTCTTTTTGGACAGCAATGGCTTCCTCCGTGGTGTCCTCCCATGTACTCCATTCTTGTTTAATGTTTTCCTTATTGTAGATGTGTCAACAAAAATGTTAGCATGTGCCAGAGATTTCTGTAGGTCTTTAGCTGACACTCTGGGATTCTTCTTTACCTCATGCAGCATTCTGCGCTGTGCTCTTGCAGTCATTTTTACAGGACGACCACGCCTAGGGAGAGTAGCAACAGTGCTAAACTTTCTCCATTTGTAGACAGTCTGTCTTACTGTGGACACATGAACATCAAGGCTTTTGGAGATACTTTTGTAACCCTTTCCAGCTTCATGCAAGGCAACAATTCTTGATCATAGGTCTTCTGAGAGCTCTTTTCTGCGAGGTATGGTTCACATCAGACAGTGCTTCTTGAAACCAGTAAACCCAAAACAGGTGTGTGTTTTTTAAGGGCAGGACAGCTGTCAGCAACACATCCAATATCATCACACTGATTGGAGTCAAGGTTGGCTCACTCCTGGCTCCAATTAGCTCTGGGAGAAGTCATTAAGCTAGGGCCTCACATACTTTTTCCTCCCTGCACTGTGAATGTTTACATGTTATGTGCAATTAAACCATGGCAACATCTAATGTTTGTGTAGTATTATGTTCAGCAGACTGTGTTCTTCTATTGTTGTGACTTAGATGACGTTCAGAGCACATTTTATGCCCAATTCATGAAAAACTCCACGTAATCCCAAGGGGTTCACATACTTTTTCTTGCAACTGTATATTGTACATTCACATCAGTCCCTAACCCTCAAGGGGTGTACAATCTAAGGTCCCTAACTTACATTCATACATACACATATTAGGGCCAATTTAGACAGGATCCAATTAACCTACCAGCATGTCTTTGGAGTGTGGGAGGAAACTGGAGTACCCAGAGGAAACCCACACAGGCACAGGGAGAACATGCAAACTCCAGGAGGTGGTGCCGTGGCTGGGATTCAAACCAGCGACCCTAGTACTGCCTAGTA